GTCCCTGCCCAGGGCAGAGCGGGTGGAACTCGGTGATGTCTAAGGTGGCTCCTAACCCAAACCTTTGGATGCTCTGAGCACCCCAAACCTCGGGGTCGTGCTGGTAGTTTTGTTGTCGGGGCTGAGCTGCTGCCAGCAGCGCTGCAGGGGTGAGTCACAGCATGGATTTTAGTGTTACACCCTTATTTTCACTCGTGAATTCTTAATTCCAAGTGAAGCTGGTTGTCTTGCCACAGATGCTCACTAGAAGCTACTGAGTTGAGAAGAGAAACCCCGGCAGGAAAATTTGAGTTTTTTCAATATAAGGCAACCAAACTGGTATAATTCAGAGAGTTTTATGGCTTTATCCTCAGCTGAGGCTTTCTGTAATACCCTGCTCTGCGTCAGAGGAACTGCCTCGGGAGGGACCGACACGCAAGAACAACTTGCTGTTAAGGAAACTTCCATGGAGGCACGGCCGAGTGCGAGAGAGGGATGAAAGGGAAAATAATGTCATGTTACTGAGGCCGTGCTGGCATTCCCATAAAGGAGGTTATCTGTGGAAAGAATGTCATAGAAATCGTCTTTCTAAAAGCCCAGCCTGACTTAAAATCCCCTCCACCATTGTGCTCTAATGGCAATACTTGTTTTAAAGGTAGCTTTTTATGTAACTCTCGGTCCCTGCTGCCTGCACTGCTCCCTTGTCCTTCCCTAAGCCAGGCTTTTGTCGTATTTCCAAGGAGAGTGAGAATAATGAACCTGGTATCCTGCGTTTCGTTTGTAAGAATCGGTTCAAAATAATGGATTTTTCATCCCTCAGAGGAAGGTTTTTCGTTTCAAAATACGGATTTTTCATCCCTCAGAGGAAGGTTTCTGATCTCCGTGGCAGTGCCCAGGCTGAGGTATGTGTGAAGAATCAAAGGGAAATGTGCTCGGTGCCAGTGGCAGGAAGCGCCTGGAGTCTCCTGCTCCCCAGATCCCAGGGATGTGGTACTCATCCTGCCACTGTCAAGCCAAGGGTCAGATCCCAGCTTAGTGCTTGGAGATTCTGCCACACCCCTGAATTCCCTGCTGAAATATGGGCTTTAAACTGCAGCTGACAAAATGACTTTTTTTTTTCCTTCTCTATGAACGTAAAGAACTTTTCTTCGTTGTGTTTGCTTTCTTCCATGTCAGCAAATGGTAAACCAAAATACAGGGAACCTTTCCTGAGGAGGAAGGAGGCAAACCCCGTAGGGAAGTGAGAATGCTGTGTGCATGCAGCCATTACTCAAATAGCTGTCTGTTCACATCCCTCTGCCACCCTCTCCTCGTTTCAAAGACTAACTACTTCTTTCTCCTTCTCTGCCCTAGAAGAAATGTTTTCTTCCCTATTTTTTAAGTGGCAAAGCAATGCAATAGCCAAGGTATTGAAACCCAGTCTACTGAATAATAACTTAATGATGTGAGCCCTGTTCTGTTCCTTTTGAATGGATGGCTGCTTTGGCAGGAGAGCTGCTGGGATCTGCTCCCTGCTGGGAGGGATGTGAGGGTGGAGAAACCTGGATGGAAGCTGAACAGCAACCAAAGTGGTGTAAAACTGAAGCAGGAGACAAGAACGAGGTCAACGCTGCGAGATTGTGAAATGAGGAGGAATTGTATGCAGTTAAGCTGAGTTCAGGAACTAATAGTGAGCACTGGTAGAATGTTTGGGTGTTTGGAGCTGCCTGTTGTTTGGAGTTGTCTGTTCACTCCGTTATTGCTGATACCTGCCTGGGCAGTGCCGTGCTGAGCCGTGTCTAATTGGCATGCTGAAGCATGGTGCAGCATGGCAGAGGTTAATGAAATACACTGGCATCAAATCCTGTGTGTTTCCAGCCTGCACAGCCACCCCCAGAACGAGTGGAAGCTGACCAAGCATTCCTGTTAGTTTTACTTTCTGGCAAAATGTATGAAACCTTGACAATTTATTTTGGCTCTCCAGCAAAGCCGAGTGAACCAACCACATTTATTTCGTTGGTATCTGATGTCACATCTGAATGCAGGTCTCCAGAGGTGATCTATTAATGTCCTAAAGCATTGCACCATCTGGTTCCTCTTTTGATGCACAACATTTGGAATGCTTGGTTTAATCTCCCTGGGTTTCAGTAAATTATGTAAACTCGGAGGCTTGGCAGCAGGAGATGGGCACCATGAGGAGATGATTCAGTCATCAATATCTATTGGGCTTCCTTATTGCTGCCATTACACTTCTTTCAGTGCTACTTACAAATTTTGCAAGTGAATAATTCATTGCACTGAGAGCTGCAAGTTAGTTTTGAAATTTGCCCACTCCGAGATTAGCTATGACTAATCCATCCTTTCCAAACTTGGAATAGCTAACTGGGCTTCTTTTTCGCAGGGTTGGGTGATAAGTCGGAAATAAATCGCATGTATATGTAACTGCTGGTGGTGACATAAATCACATTTCCCTTTTGCTTTCTGGACAGAATCAGAGCACCTTGGAATAGATGTGAGCACAAGACACGGCGACGGCTGAAGCTGCCTGGGAACACCATGGCTGCAGCACCTCATCTCAACTCGGACGCGCTCCGGGAGGTCCTGGAGTGCCCCATCTGCATGGAGTCCTTCACCGAGGAGCACCTGAGGCCCAAGCTCCTACACTGTGGGCACACCATCTGCAAACAGTGCTTGGAGAAGCTCCTAGCAAACAGCATTAACGGGATACGGTGTCCCTTCTGCAGCAAGATCACGCGGATCACGAGCTTAGCTCAGCTGACTGACAATCTCACTGTGCTGAAGATCATAGACACTGCTGGACTGGGCGACGTGGTGGGTCTTCTCATGTGCAAGGTCTGTGCAAGAAGGTTGCCAAGGCACTTTTGCAAGAGCTGTAACTTGGTTTTATGTGAGCCGTGCAAGGAGGCTTCACACATGCCCCAAGGGCACAGAGTCATCGCTATCAAGGAGGCTGCTGAAGAGCGTAGGAGGGAATTTGGGACGAGGCTTGCCAGGCTTCGGGAGCTCATGGGTGATCTTCAGAAAAGAAAAGCTGCTCTGGAGGGTGTTTCAAGAGACCTGCAGTCTAGATACAAAGCAGTTCTGCAGGAGTACAGCAAAGAAGAGCGCAAGATCCAGGAAGAACTAGCCAGGTCACGCAAGTTCTTCACCACCTCTTTGTCTGAAGTGGAGAAGATAAACAACCAAGTAATGGAGGAACAAGCCTATCTGCTGAACTTAGCAGAAGTGCAGATAATGTCTCGCTGTGACTATTTCCTTGCCAAAATAAAGCAGGGGGATATAGCTCTCCTGGAGGAGGCAGCAGATGAGGAAGAACCAGAACTGACAAACAGTCTCCCAAGGGAGCTAACTCTTCAAGAAGTGGAACTCCTTAAGGTGAGCCACGTGGGGCCACTGCAGATTGGGCAAGTGGTGAAGAAACCCCGGACCGTTAACGTGGAGGAATCGCTCATGGAAACTGCAGCATCCTCATCGGCATCGTTTAGGGAGCCAGACCTAGTGCAAGAAGAGCCCAGCTGCACACCCAACTCCTCCCCAGCCAAGCCAAGGATGCCTGAAGCAGCCACGAGCATCCAGCAGTGTCACTTCATCAAGAAGATGGGCTCCAAGGGCAGCCTGCCAGGGATGTTCAACCTCCCCGTCAGCCTACACGTCACCTCGCAAGGGGAGGTGCTCGTGGCAGACCGCGGCAATTTCCGAATCCAGGTGTTTACCCGCAAGGGCTTTCTCAAGGAGATTCGCCGGAGCCCTAGCGGAATCGATAGCTTTGTGTTGAGTTTCCTTGGAGCAGACTTGCCCAACTTGACTCCCCTTTCTGTCACCATGAACTGCCATGGCTTGATTGGTGTGACAGACAGCTACGATAACTCCGTCAAGGTCTACACCATGGATGGCCATTGCGTGGCCTGTCACCGCAGCCAGCTCAGCAAGCCCTGGGGCATCGCCGCGCTGCCCTCGGGGCAGTTTGTAGTGACCGACGTGGAAGGGGGAAAGCTCTGGTGTTTCACAGTGGACCGTGGCGTGGGGGTGGTGAAGTACAGTTGCCTGTGTAACGCGGTGCGTCCCAAGTTTGTCACCTGTGACGCTGAAGGGACCATTTACTTCACTCAAGGGCTGGGCCTCAACCTGGAAAACCGGCAGTACGAACACCATTTAGAAGGAGGTTTTTCCATCGGTTCCGTCGGCCCCGACGGGCAGCTGGGACGCCAGATTAGCCACTTCTTCTCGGAGAACGAGGATTTCAGGTGCATTGCTGGCATGTGTGTGGATGCCAGGGGAGACCTCATCGTTGCTGACAGCAGCCGTAAGGAAATCCTGCATTTTCCTAAAGGAGGTGGCTATAACATCTTAATCCGGGAAGGACTCACCTGCCCGGTCGGTATTGCTATTACTCCCAAAGGGCAGCTCCTGGTGCTGGACTGTTGGGATCATTGCATTAAGATCTACAGTTACCATCTGAGAAGATATTCCACCCCTTAAAGGCATGTCTGTAAGCAAAGCCTCTCCTGGCAGCAGAGATTCTTCCAGCCTCCCTGCAATCTGATGGGAAACCAACGTTAAGCCTTCAGGAAGATTGTGCCATAACCAAAGGGGATTTGGCATAGAGGCCATCATGTTTTGTGTTTAGAAACAGATTAGCTTTTGTGGTGATGGTGATGGTGGTCTGCTTTTTCTTCTTTTGTTTTTTTAATACGAAATCCGTACAATAAGAATAAGCGTGTGGGAAAGGATCCATCCTTCTGGAGTATTGGTTCCTTGCTAAATGACTGGTCACTCCGTAAACCTTCTGCCACATCTCCTACACTTCCAGCTTCAACCATTGTGTCTTTCTTTGTGCCATAAACGCTGACTGACTGCTCTAAATCACCTTCCCTTAGAGGACTAGCAAGGCAATCCTCCTCTCGCCGTGGTACTTGCGAGGAACTGGGTAGCAGTTGTCTGGGCAACTCCTAGAGAGAGCAATTTGTGATTGCAGCACTGCATAAAACGAAATAGCCCACTTCAACTGCACGGGGATGGAGCTTTACTTCCACACTGACGAGGGAGGGTTGTGTGTCTCCCGTTTTTCTGGTGTTGAGGAGATCACCCTGTCGTGCCATTCGTGAGCCGTGTCCGTTCCATGTGAAGTGAGTACTGTGCAATCGTGGGAGACCGAGCTGAGCCAGAAAATTGCCCTCTTTATTACTGAGTAGTAAGAAAACGGGTTTTATTACTGCTCAGAGTTCTGCTAGGTAGAAGGGGGTAAAAAGGGAGGGGGTGAAGGGAAAAGAAAAAAAAAAAGGGGAAACCTAGGGTTGCTATTTACTGCTGTTTTATTATTAAATGTATCCTGGAAACTGTCTTTGGAAGGTGTATCTGGTAGCTAAAACTTCCCGGGGGAGGGGGGAAGGGCTGGGGGAATGAGGCTGGGAGATTGTAGAAAATGAGATTAAATGCAACATATTGTAAATTCACCTGCACTTCACTACTCTGCATTCCAGACCATTACGTTTAGCAATAGTTTTCCACTCATCTGCACTTCCTATGTGCAAGTTACTCACTGCTGAGTTGGGGACAGGGAGAGGGGGACTATTTCACTTTTACTTTTTTAATACTTGGAAGCACATCCATTGGTGCACTGCCTTTTTTTCCCTTGCACAGCAAAATGCTACATTCCTCAGATTATTTTTTTTACAGCACCAGCAGGCACCAGAGTTGCTGTTCATCACGGCTTTGGGCCAAATGAAGCACAAAACTGCAGCTGTGTGAACCAAGGCCCCCACAGTGCTACTCTCCTGGCTGATAAATGTGTACCTCAGTGTGGTGCTGCTCTCCCAGAATAGTTTATTGAAGGAAAGATGCATTTAAATAGGGCACAGTGGTAGCATGTTAATCTGCCACAGATAATAGTTACACTGCAGTGCATTTATTTGTTGCTATCAACAACGTAGTTGCAAATTTGGGGGCACGACAGAAAATATAAAAGCTGATTTTATGGTGGCTGCCAGTGCTCCAGCAAATTGTTTGCTACTTGTCCTACAACATGTTTGCAACAGGTGATTTTTTTTTTAAGCTCCCATATACTTTACCCTAATGAAACAGCAAAGTGAAATAGGCTTCAGAGCTGCTGCTGCTCCAGCTGGAGGTTTGGCAGTTACAGGATTTGCAGAAGCAGCACTGGGAGCAGATTTTGGTGGGATTTTTGTTTGGTTTTTATTCTCTCTCTGTGTTGTGCCAGCCAAAGTGCTGAAGGGGCAGCACACAAGCATAGCTGTGTGATGGAGCTGCCTCTCCACCAGAGCAACTTGTGATTTCTCTCACAGTAATGCGCTGGGAAAAGCTTGTGGAGGAGGGAGCTAAGACCTGAATGTAATAGAAGGTGCTGAGGGAGCCCAGGGGACTGAACCCCCTTCCCTCCTGAGCTGCTCTGTGTGTTTGCCAAGGCTACCGACTTGCACATCATTAAATATATTCTCTACTTCTCATTTCTGGGTGGGAGGGGTAGTTGCCCAAGGCATGTGACAGCAGTTTGGGGAACCTTTCTCATCTTGCCATGTGTGCTTTGGGGAGAGGCTGATGATTACTGGGCCCTGCTGCACTTAATGGCATTGTAACTGGAGGCATTTTTCCAGTGTTATGGCAATGGCAGTTCCTCTCCTACTGATCTCTATTAAACATTTCTCCTGCTTCCAAGAACTGCTCCAAGCAGGAAGCTACTGTGGACCTGAATAACTGAAGCAATATTATCTATGATAATATGTACCTCTGTCATTTTCTGTTCCCATGGATATTTTTTTTTTTGCAATAAACAGCACACTACTAGCAATAACATTTCCTGGAGTGCTTGAAGGGACATAAAAACTGGTCCAGTAAACTGAGCAGTTGGTTACCCCAGCCTGAGCCTGGTTACCAGAGTTCAAACAAAGTGTCTGTCATCTGTTTCTCACTCAGAGATTTAAGAAAAATAACACTACCTTGTGATGTAGTGGGGGGCCAGGACACTGCGATCAGTGCCTGGGGCTGTGTCTTGCCTGCAGCTCTTCTAGTCTGTAGTTTCAGGCAGAAAAGGGAAAAAGCAAACCTGCTGTCCCTCGCCCAGGGTCTGCACATCCCCTGACAAAACTTGACAGTGACTGTGAGATGGTTTTGCAGAGCTCTGTTTCTTGCTGTGGTGCCCCCACACAGTGTTGTGATCGTCTGCCAAACGGGATGAACTGGAGGAATTAAGGATTGTGTTGAAATAGTTTGGCTCCTGCTCTGTACCTGGAGAAGAGAGCTTGTATGGTCGTACGTGTGTGTTTGGTTTTTAAAGATTGTGTAATAAAGGAAAAATTGATCCAATTAAAAGCGCGTTGCAAACGGCTCATTTTCTTATTAAAACACTTCATCTCCTCCCTTTGGTGGCAGATTGGATTTTACAGCCAGTGGGGATTAGATTGGGAACACAATGGCTATGAGACCCCTTTATGCATCAGGTTGTGGAGGATAAATCTGATCTCCTTGGCAGGTCCCATGGAACTTTACCTGACACTTCCCTGCTCACTTCATAAACAAATGCTCAGGTTTCCTACCTTAATTCACACTGATACTCCCACAGGGGCAGTATCTTCCTTGTCACCGTAGCTGATACCTGATGTTTCAAAGGTCTGGGTCAAGTTCACTGGCTCTGGGTAAGGGGACGTGGGAGCCTGGCTGAATGCTCCATCCCCTGTGTCCCTGCCTCATCCCAGGGGTGTTCTGGCTCAGCTCTGTCCTACTGTAGATGTGACATATTTGCAGGGGCTAGTGGAAGGTTTGCTGTGAGGATTCACCTTTTATTCTGGGTAATTTTGATAAATGCTGCAAAAACTCCTATTAGTGTATTTAGGTGGAGCCAAAGGAGAGTGAAGCAATTCAAAGGCACCACTGAGGAATCCACTCAGTGCAGGTAGCTCGGAGGCAGATGCAGGTTGAGCTCTGGAGGGGAAGAAGCCCCAGGCAAAAAACCCTGAACTGTCAACCCTTTGCATAACAAAGGGCTCGGGGACCTGTGGCACAGCCAGGTGAGGGACACTCCAAGACTTGGCAGGAGCCAAGGGCTCAGCTGGAAGACCCCTGACTTCGGTTTGCTGAGGCTGTGAGGGTGTAAAAGCCCAGGGTTCCTTTTGTTCAGTCAGACAGGAAAGTTTCCTTTACAGGTACGTCAGCAGCAGGTGCAGATTCTCCCCAGGTCCTGCCACCCAGCTGGGTTTGCTGATCTGGGTGAAGGATTTTATCACTCGGGCTCATCTCAGGTGATGTGAAGCAGCTCTTTAAACAGGTATGAATTGCTGGTTTATCAAACATATTTGATCCTTGCAGAACAGCTGCTGTGCAGTGCTGTTAGACCCACCCCACTGCTCTATCATAAGTTTGGATTTCTTAGGGTAGAACAATTAAGCCATGGACGTCATTCTGGGCAAAACCAGGAGCCAGGGTTTCTAAAGGGATGAGGAGGAGAGCCTGGTCCTTAATCAAAGGGGGCAGAGCTACAAAAGTAAAACTAAAGCCAGATGCTTTGAGTCTATCTATTGTATAGCTTAAGTGATTTTTCTGGGTCATTACTCAATGCGAGGATTTAAAGTTATTTCATTTTGCACAACTAATTACTCGACTTGCCTGGCAATTCTGGATTACAATGAGCAGTGCATAAGGTCATTTAGCAGACTGAGTCACAGCACATATTTCAGTTTAAGCTGAATTTCACGGCAACCAGCTAGATTGTTTTTACCTCCTCTGAACAAAATGTCAAAATCTGAAGGTTTGAAATAAATATAATGACATAAACCAAGCAAGTAAGAGTGTTACAAAGGTAATAGAGTGGTTGTTTATAGGGACAGATCTCAAGAACAGGGAAATTCTATACACTCTACTTCTCACCAAGCAGGTATAAGGGAAACCCATTATCTCCTTTAATAGATGCAAAACTCTCCTTACAGTTTTCTTAATGCACATGATTGTGCCTAGGAAAGGAAAACTAAAGGTTCCCGTGGACTAGTTCAATCTTAATTGTGTTAATGGCAGTAACAAACCTAAAGGGAGATGAATGAAGCCTGGAAAGGGCAGCAGAGACCCACACACCATACTCAGAGGAATATTGACTGCTATTTTAGTGGAGCTTGAAGCTCCATCCTTAATTTTATGATGGGTATTTATGAAGATAAATACCTTTTATGAAAATCTTTTGTCAGAACTGCTGAGTTCACAAGAAAGCATGAAAACTGTCACCTCTTTTAAAAGTAAATCCAACTAATGATGTGTGGTCCAAGAGAAGAGAAGAGAAGCAAGTACTGGGGAGGATGGTGAGCAGAATGGCTCAGGGAATGTGACAGGACCTGCCAGAGCACAGCCTCTCCATGGACTATTTCCATAAATGATCTGTTACAGACAGGGAACATCTTTCACATCTGTAGCAGCCACTGTCAAGGCTCAGCCTGCTGAGTGCCCAACATGGCCAGGGAACCTCAGCCAAGGAAACTCTA